GCTCTCATTCCAATCCACCTACACACGCGACACTCAAGGGAGGAGGAGAACAAAACTTACGTAACGCACGTAACCGACTTGGCACGATGCCAAAAACCTAAAATTATTCGACCGATATATTTTTGTGTGTTAAGGTCGTCGAATAACGCTCACAAATCTGTTGCATGTGGGCTTCCTACATCTTTAAGACATGCGTGTCTGCAAAATAAGTTGTGATGATCTTTGAACTTTTTTATTTGTATGATATTAAAACATCAAAAATGCATTTAAATGGAAATAAATCACGAGAAAGATGAATGGTTCTATGAAGATTTTTTGGACTTTTTACTACCATGGCAACAAGCAGAAAAATATTAATGTGGACTTGATACATAAAATGAAAATGTGAATAAAAATACCCAGACCATATTACATCGAACATAAGACAATGAAAAATAAACGGACGTCGTTTGTTTGCTGACCATCGCTCTGTCGTGTTTGTTTATGTTATTGTTTATGTTATTGTTTATGTTTATGTTATTGTTCTGAGCAATCATCATTTAAATCTAGAAATTATATAAAGTTGTAGAATTAACATTAAAGTTATGCAATATTAGCTTTTTCGCTGTTTTTACCTAACTCGTCTAAGTAATCTGAACAATCTAATTTACTTTTTAATTCTTTAACAACCATCATGTGAATAACAGTACGCAAACCGTCTGATAATTTAATCAGTATGCCGAAATCTAAATACAAAATTTCTAAGACCAAACAACCTCTCAAAAGTAAAAGACAAATTTCGGAGCCAGAAACAGACCAAGAAACAATAGAATTCGTGTGGTCCACGCAAGTTTCCAATGCCTGGAACAGGATGAAGTACCAGCTAGAACATCCACTTGAAGGAAGAATACCTCCTATACCTGGCATAATAGACTGCAAAAAAGATATATACATATCACAGCTGGTGCCAATGTATGCCGATGTTTTAAACGAAAGATGGAATAGGAAACAGATGGAGTTGTGGGCTCAGTATGACGAAACATCATTAGAACACGTGGTGAGAAATTTTTGGTCACCGCACTTTTTGCCGAGAAGAATTGCTCTTCCGAATATTGTAACTTTTGATAAAAGCGATGATTTAATCAAAACAACAGACAAAAAAGGTAAGAAAACTCAAGAAAAACCTGATGAGGTCAAACCAGATAAGAGCAAACAACAAGATAAAAAAAAGAAAAAGGTAGCCAATGAAGAAAAAGCGGAGAAGAATGAGCCTACTGTAGTTGCGGCCGAGAAAAGGAACATCAAAGTACCATGTATGAATATCTTTCCACAGTTGAATCTCACTCAGTCTCTGCTTTCTCTCATTTCAGAACCCAAGGTTGATAAACCCGTTATTGAAACTTCTGAATCAAATATTGAAAACAAGAAAAATCTTAAAAAAGGAACAAAGGCGGTTAAAAATAAGAAAAATAAATAAAATTTGTGTAATCAGTTCCTTCAAACGCATAACGAAGTATAATCCCTAAACTTAATTCTTCATACCTTTTAATACTTTCTACTTAAAATCCATGGATATAAAAAATCGCGTTTAAATTTCCAGGGCATGATCGATCAATGTACATTATAGTTAGTTTATCTTTTTCTATTTTCTAGACAGAAACGTTAAATGTTGATCTAATATTCAGTATCTTCATTATTAATTTCATCGTTATATCACTGCTTCGAGTAAATAAAAATTCCTTTACTTGAATTATTTATAAGATGTAAAATATGTACATTGCAAAGCATGCATTAAAAATACACTTATGTAAAATCAATCTTTGTTATTCTGATGAGTTTACGGCTATATATGTGTTGTGTTAATCATGGATATAATGTGTGCATAATTGATAAAGATTCCATATCGATGTAATGAAAATAAATTAAAATTATTTATCTTTGTTTGTTTTTATCGCTCATAGTTTGTGGGTAGATTTGATTGTTTACGATTGAGATTGTGAAAGTTCGCCGTTGTTTTAATTAATTAAATTGTTCAAAATTTAACGCAAAATTCTCAAAATGACTTCAAACAAGACAGTTTCAAGAGATTTTCAAATGATGATGAATATCATGAAAGACATGGGCATCACTGATTACGAACCTGGGGTTGTTAATCAACTAGTTGAGTTTACTTACCGTGAGTATTTCTATTTATTTATTAATTTATAATTTAATTTAATTTACTATTTGTGTTGTTCACAATATTACAAGTACTCTGTCTATATTTTTTTTTAAACTTTTTAGTTTTATTTTATAGTTTATTTATAATTTTTCTTGTTTGATTATTTTATATTTCATTTTTTTTAGTTAGTTAGATTTAATTAATAAATATTTATTAATTAATTATTGAAAGGTTATGTCACGGAAATGCTTGATGATGCCAAAATGTTTGCTAATCACTTTGGCAAAAAGAGCGTAGACAGTGATGATTTGAGGATAGCTGCTCAGATGAAACTGGAAACTTCACTGACAAACCCTCCCCCAAGAGAAGTAATTTTTATTGAATTTTTTTATTTTTTTCCATATATATTCATTTCATGAACTTATAATTTAATTACAGTTGCTGCTAGAGCTGGCGAGAACAAAGAATTCAATTCCTCTTCCTCCAGTCAAGCCATTCAGTGGCCCCAAACTTCCTCAAGACAGATACTGCTTGACTAATCCTAATTATCAGCTTGTCGCTGTTAAAAGAGTAAACATTAAATATTCAGTTTATTTAGTCATTTTAATGAATGAATTAACTTAATAATTTATTAATAATATAATTATTATTTATTAATAAATATAAATAAAAAATTATTTTGACAGACTTTTGTAAATAAAAATAACCCCAACTTGCCAAAGTTCAATACAACATCGCTGAATGCACAGAACAACATGACAGGTAAGTTTAACATGATTTTTTCTAGAAAAATGTTTTAGAATTCTAATAAATGTTGTACGTCTAATGATTAATTGATTTAAATATTTTTATATAGCGTCATTTTCATTGCTGAGCAATGCAAACCAGCCTTCAGCATTCAAGAGGAAAAGAGAAGACGATGAATATGGCATTTGAATTTCATTGATTTCTTTTATCCCTGTTTTGACTTTTGCTCATTTTTTTAACGTTAAACTTTAGTGAATCATAAATTTTTATTATAAAGAGAATTATTTTTCTAAAATCTTGTACACTATATCTATTAATATGATTGTTGAAAACATCAGTGTCGTCAGATGAAATTGTCATCACTATGCCAAATGTTACGTATGCAATGCATCCATGTATGTATATAATTAAAATGCATGTTTAACTTCAATGGCACTTCAAAATGTTTAACAGCGTGTGTACGGATATGGCGTTATAAAAGCATTATACTATTTTACCATATGATAGATGAAGATTTCTCTGCATTCGAATCCCGTCATTGTAACTCATACTCGAGCAGTTTTCTCCTATATCACTGTCCATTCAATATATGTTTTGATATAAACATTGCAAATTTTTAATTTTTCCCATTTCATTATTTCAAAACCGGATGGGTATTGTGCGATAAGTCTTGTGCGATAGTCGTATTAAATTTGTCATTAATATTACAATGTCCTTAAAATTCATCGATTTAATCTACCTTTTAATAAGTTGTTTCTTCAATGATCACGACGTTTGCTTTTAGTTATTTTAATATATTTGATACCTTGACATCGTAAGCAAAAAGTTGCTCTACAAAAAAATCGAGTTTAAATAATTTTTAGTTTAAAAATTTATTTTGTCTTTCCATAAAGTAATATGAAACTAGTATGATGGAAACCGTGTATTTATATGTATATATATAATATATATAGAATAAAATGATGGCGACATAGTTGGTTGCTGGGTTAGAGATTTTAAATTTCATCCGAGAAGTTGCATTTGTTGTGACATTTTTGTTTTGTGCATAAAAAGATTTATTTGATAAATTTTTGAATTGCTAACTGCCGGAATATGCCAGACGACGATGACCTGTTAGTTTTGATGTTGACTGCTGTTTTTTTAGTTTTCCTATTATTTATTAACTAACTAACTAAATTCTTGCTAAATCCGTAAAGTGGTATAATACATCAGTTATGATTAATAAACGTAAATAAATAAACGAGTCTGTAAATCTGAAATCTTAACGACTTAACCTAACAAACTATGAAATAATTATAATAAAATACCACATTTAAAAAGCAAGTTAGATTAGTTAGTGATTAGATTAGATGTTTAAATAATAATAATGTTTACAAGAATTTATATTTTTATAAACATTATTTAATATAGATATTAATATAAATTAATATTAGTATTAATATAAATCTGATTACAAATTGTTTAAGAAGTGATGAGTTCAGTCGGCGACTGCAAGAATTCACTATGAAAAAGAGGGACATGCTGTTTTCAGAGGTTGATCTGAGTGACTGTGTGGCTGGTTCTGGCATCTACCATCATAAACTACTGGACATCAATTCTAATGGTCAGATAATTAAAATTATATTATTATATAAATTTAATGAATATTAGTTATATTAATTTTATAATATTTTTTTAAATTGTTATGGTATTACACTATTAGTATATTAGATTATGATTATGTGATTATGCTGATTACAGATTATTGCATTTTATTAATTTTTGTATCAGTACATGTCAAAAATTCATATAAAAAATCTTTTCCCAGAAAACTTCACCAATGTACCTCCTTTAGAAGTTTTCATGGATGTCCCAAAAACGTCGAGAATTGATCATTTTTATAAGGTTACTAATTTAATTTGAATGAAAAATAACCTGATTTTTTAAAATGACATTACCAGGTGCTACTTTTACTTTCTCTCTAGAGTCTAGGCGTATTTACAATGCAATCCAGTTGTTTTTGACAACTTTCAATTTCCAACGCAATCAACATTACACACACAACACAACATGTGAATATTCATAAATCCAAAGCATCACATACATCGCATGTAATATGCAGGAATCTCTTTGCATTCGAACCCGGTCAGTGCAACAGCATAACCATGCGCTTCAACCATTACACCACCCATTTCTAAAAACTCTTAATCACATTGGATAATGTCATGTCATTAATGTCATTTTTCTTTGTAGAATGTGGAGAAAGGGAATGTGCTTACTGGTGTCATAACATCAGTAATTGATGTCGGCTTCTACATGAATCTGTTGGCCGTTGACGTTGGCAAAGCTAGGAGTCTTCACGATTTGAAACTATCTGTAATGCAATTTTCATGATTTTTATTAATGATGATATATTTAAAATTATTATTTTTGTATCATTTTTCTGTTTAATTTTAGTTAATTTTTTTGTTTAATTCACTTTAATCAGTTGTTCAAATGTTTTTAAAAAAATTAGGAATATGCATATATATATATATATATAGATATCTTGTTTTAAAAAATTTATAACCAAATTATTATTACTTATTATTTTTTTATTATTATTTATTATTAATTATATTACTTATTGTTGCTATTATTGGTCTTTTATTAATTATTATTATCATCAAAAGGCCTTTTGTCCGAGTCGAGAAATTGAGAAACATCGACACCACGATGACGTTCTGGAGCAGTTTGCCATTAAGGATGTTGTAAGAGGTATGGGGACTGATAGATTTTTACTGTAACGTAATGTTGTGTTGTTAGTGTTATAGATGTGGTTGTTGTTTTTGTTTTGTAATAGATAGAGTTGTTGTTTTTGTTTTGTATGTGATGTTTAGTTGCAGTAATGTTATTTATGATGTTTTTTGGTGTAATTTTTGTTCTTGTTAATGTCATTTATGACGTTGATGTTGTGTGATGTAATAGTAGTAGTAGTAGTTGTTGTTGTTGTTGTTGTTGTTGTTGTGATATCTACATTGTGATACGTCCTACCTTGGGAAACCGGGTCTCTGGATGCAAAACGAAGATTGATTGATTGATTGTTGTGATATCAATGTTTATATTAATGTTGTCATGCTCCTATTTTTAGTAGTTTGGTTTTTTGAGGTTTTTTTTATTTTTTTTAATTAATTTTTTCAAAATTTAGAACAAAACCATACTAATACTTCACCATGCTTGGCTTCATTCCTACGTCACTCAATTACATAAATCCTCTCTTTTTTTCCAAACACTCCAGCTGTGGTGATAAAAGTGAACTTAGATAAAATAACTGTTTCCCTACAACATCATCATCTCACATCATCTCTGAGATCTATCAAATTGGTTAGTTCTTCCGGTTTCATGTATCTTCTTTATGAGTGAGTGAATTAATGAATGAACGAATGAATGTATGCATAAATGGATGGATGAATGAATGAATGGATGAATGAATGAATAAATGAATGAATGAATGGACAAGTAAATGAATAAATAAATGAATGGGAGGACGATGAACAAATGAAAGAATAAATAAATGAATTAATGTTCTGACATTCACATTTCATTTACTACTTACTGTGTTTAATTTTTTTATCATATAAAAAGGGAATATTATCAGATGAGGAAATATCATTATATTACAGGTTGGTTGTGTGGTGCTGATGATGATGGTGATGATGATGATCAATTTGATGATGATGATGACGGCGATAGATTTTATGGTGATATTTATGGTGGTTGTCTAACTTAGTCCTAACATAAACTTGAAAATACATACTGCCTATTTTTAACATGTTAATAAAATCATAATATTTGCACATCCCTGTTTTTTTGCCTATCTCTAATCCTTATTCTCAACCTAAACAGTCGAACCCTGAAATACGAAGGCCAGGCGTACAATGACATCATGAAAAGTTCTCTGGAATATGAAAACCCATCGAACATCTCGAATCTTGGAATCATGTTTGGGCTGAGTGGCCTCAAGTGTCGACCATCTTTGATGAGGGGGCTTTTCAAGTTAGTGATTATTGAGATGATGTTGATGTTGGTGATGATGAGTAGGATGATGGTGGTGAAAATGAGTGTAGTGTGAGCGATGCTGGATTTTATTATGAGATTTTTTAGATTTTTCCGACTGTTAATATTTGGTTTGCTATTGTTATCCATGTTACTAAAGCAGATTATCGTTTTTAAATTATTTTCTAATTAAATTAAATTAATTATTTGGTGGTTTATTGGTTAATGGTTATTTTATAATTAATTCATAAATTCATTAATCCAGAGTTCAATATCCTGAAGATTCTTATGGCGATTATTTGAGAAAGAAGCAGTCATATAAGCTTGCTATGAAGAAGTAAGAGTTTTTGGTGAAGATGACGTGGCGATGACGTAACGATGATGATAACGATGGTGGTGCAATCTATGATGATTTTAGTGAGGATGATGATGATTTTCATGATATCGATGATGACGTTGGTGGTGATGTTGATATATATTTAGACGTGCATCTTAAACATCATCAAAATCTTCAATCAAACCGCCATCATCACGACATTGTCTTCATCATCACCTCACCATCATCACTTCATCATCATCACTTCATCATACATCATCATTAACAGTCATCCTCATTGGAATATAGTCACAGCATCACATAACCATCATCGCCTTTGATATCATCCTTTATCCACCGTCGTAACAGTATAACGACGGCCGTAACGTACGTGAAGGCGGAGCAGAACATTGAAGCCATGCAAGTGCTGAATAGGGCCCTAGAAATTGACCCGGATAACGTCGAGGGACTTGTTGTGAGAGGAGCGCTGTATGTTTTCATGACTATTTTCTTTTGTTTCATTTTGGGTTTTTTGTTTGTCCACCTTTGTAATTGTTTCTTTTTTTTAGTATTACAATGTTTTATTATTCCTATTAGTATTATTATTATTATTTATTTTTATTGTTTTATTAAGCCAAGGAAACATTGGAAACTACAAAAAAGCCATAGAAGATTTTGACAAGGCATTGATTGTGGACCAACATCACAGAAACGCCAACAAATATTTGCGCACCGTGCTCATCAGCTTTGCTAAGAAGTTCGTACGTGTGTGTGTGTGTGTGTGGGAGAGAGAGAGAGAGAGAGAGAGAGAGAGAGAATGGGCGTATTTTGATGATTAAGCATTTGTAGATCATTTCTAGTTTGCTAGAAGATTGAGATTATTTTTGTTCGTATGTTGAAAATATGTGTCATCATCAGTTCACATTATAAGTATTTGTCTATGGTCTAATCTAGTATTAATTAATTCATCCATTTTTATGAATCAATCGTTTTGTATTCATTTATCAGTAATTTTCTTTTTGTATCCCTCCACCTTTCATTCAATGTTTCAATCGATCAATCAATCAACTCTCTCTTTTAATCTATCTCATCCATCCGTCCATTTCTCATTTGTTCATCTATCTCTCAATCCATCAATTTATCCATCTGTCTTCCAACCTATCCTTCATTAATTTATTCATCCATCATTCGTTTAATCCATCATTCAATCACTCATTCATTCAGTTTGATATCAGAGGACAAAACGCACCAGGCGATTGATCTGTTGAAGAGGGCGAGAGATGTTAACAAAAAGGTGAGGGTAAATTATAATAATAGAGATGGTGATATTGAAGAGGAGGAAGAGGAAGAAGAGGATGTTGAAGATGAGATCAATAAATTGATCACAACTGCAAATAACAGGGTTTGTCTTTGGTTTAATTTAATATTGTTATCATTATTAAAAATAACTAATTATGATTTTGTTAATATTATTGTTAATCGTTATTTAAGGTTTTTATTTTTTAAGTATAAATGTTTATCTGTCTCTGTCTGTCTATCTATCTATCTATCTATCTATCTATCTATCTATCTATCTATCTATCTATCTATCTATCTATCTATCTATCTATCTATCTATCTATCTATCTATCTATCTATCTATCTATCTATCTGTCTGTTTATCTATCTATCTATCTATCTATCTATCTATCTATCTATCTATCTATCTATCTATCTATCTATCTATCTATCTATCTATCTATCTATCTATCTATCTATCTATCTATCTATCTATCTATCTATCTATCTATCTGTCTGTCTGTTTATCTATCTATCTATCTATCTATCTATCTATCTATCTATCTATCTATCTATCTATCTATCTATCTATCTATCTATCTATCTATCTATCTATCTATCTGTCTGTCTGTTTATCTATCTATCTATCTATCTATCTATCAATCAATCTACACACTGTTGTAACTTTTCTTCACATGTGTCCATCAAACCGAACACGACGACGACGATGACAACAACAACGACAACAACAACAACAATGATGGTGATGGTTGTAATAATGATATCATTAATGGTGATGATGAAAATCATTTCGTCACTGGATGTTGGCAATGGTATAACACTGATGATGATGATAATTGTGATGGTTAACTTTTATCATATTGTCACTACTGTTGTTGCTGCTGCTGCTGCTACTACTACTACTACTGCTGCTAATACTACTACTACTCCTGCTGCTACTATTGCTACTTTTTTCATATGGTTTGGTTGCCATTGCTTTTTGTTCTTTTTTTTGTTCCAACACCTCAAAATATAAATGCTAATCAATGATTTCCGTTTTCATAATTTAAATATATTATTAAAAATAATAATTAATATTGATTACACTTAGAAAGTTCTCCACCATTCAAATAAAAGTTTAGATGAGGGTCCTAGCTGTGGTGGTGGTGGTGGCAGCGGTGGTTACGGCAATAATGATGAGCGAAAGCATCGGAGGTATTCACAGAGTGGATCCAGGTAAACTATTTCAGAGGTTGAGTAATTTGTAAATCGAATTGTTTGATACAACATTTTAATTTTTTAGGGTTCAATCGAAGTCGGCGTCTAGCAGCAAATACTTGCCTGCCGTCAAGTATTATTCTCCAGTTCTGCTTAGTGATGACGATGCTGGAGAAGTTTTCGGACCACAGCTGCCTCCGAGTGAGGCGAAGAAAGCTGGTAAATCCTTGAAGAGGAGAAGAATGAGTAAGAGAACTTCATCATCCGATGATGATAACAGTGGATCATCGTCGTCTAGCTCGTCATCGTCTTCATCTTCATCATCATCATCATCTACGTCGTCATCTTCGTCAGATGATAATGATGAGGATGGAAGTAGTGAGGAACGTAAAATATTAGCTTCAACTGACGATGCGTCGAAAAATTCAAACGTTTCTAACCGTAGTGAAGTGGTGAAATCAAAGTCGAACCAGAAGACAAAGAGATTAAAATCGTCAACATCATCATCTTCATCATCCGGTGAATCTGACGTGAAAACAATTACGAAATCGTCACAGAAATTTGATAAATCATCTAGTAAAAAATCGCTCCATTCCAAAACATCATACGAACACCAGAGCAATTACCACAAAACTTACTACGACCGGAACAAACTTGACACTAAGCATGAGCAACTCTTCAGGAATAAAAGCAGTAAATCGTACAGCGATTCCAAACCATCTCATTACGATTCTGAATACAATTCAAAACGCCTCAACAACTTATCAGAAAAATTCAGAACTGAAGCAAAACTTGGTAGGAACTATGAGCAAAGGAAGGAAGTGTATGGAAAATCGAAACAGTATACCGATGACCATATAAAGAAAAAATTAACTTACAAAAATTATGCCGGAGGTGATGCCATACATGATTCAAAAAGACTAAACGCGCCTGCAGAGAATAAGAGTGCAACTGGCTTGAATAAAGCTGAAAATAACGCTGAAAATATTCCGGGTGAGAGTTTGGAAGAGATGGAATCATTTTTAAAAGAATTGAAATCAAAGCAAAAGTTGAATCGACCAAAGCAATAAATACCTTTCGTTAATTATTTTAAATCAATTTATTGATCTTTTTTTTTCAGTTACACCCAGTTTGTTAAATAAAAAGTTCTTTCTGACCTCGTAAAAGTTTTCAATATTTAGGCGACAAATATGAAATTTTTTGTTGAGTGGACATATGTTTTCGTTGCGTTAGCCGCACTCTCATGCGTAATGATGCGTGGCGTTAAACGATACAAACGTAGTTTTTTTTAGCAGTAGAAGTAGAATAAAAAAAAAACGTGGAAGTGTGCGAGCGCGCAGGAAATATTACATTTAAAAATGGCTTCATTTACTGAGTGCATTGACGTTTGAGATGTCTCCATTTTAAAGATTGGGTGCATAAATTTGTCTCGGTTGGCACGTTTATTTTCATCTTCAGTCATCTTTGTGCAATCGGCTGGTTTGAAGTTTCGGTTGATGTTTATGATTGATAATCGCTTTTAAAACAGAAAACAAATGGTCCTATCGTTATCGTACAATAATAATGCTTCTATTAATATAACACAAGAAGAGGTTCATTTTAAATTTTTGGTTACAAACTCTTCTCAATGACTATGTCCTTGAACCGAATCCACTCGAAGCATTAATTAATCTTACTCAGCGTGCGACATCAACCTGACTCCAGGGTGCATCACTACTCATAATTTGATGACGTGACAGCTCTGAAATGTTCAAACTTACGTGGATGTGGTGCGGTTCGCTACTAATTACTTCTTACAGTACGAACGTCAGATGATAGATGCGAACGCTCGCACGAACATCACGGCGAACATGAGACGCGGATAATTATTATATAGAGTACACGAAACATAATATTGTAAAGGATAATTATATAGTCCGCTACACACACATACACAGCAGCAACTGGTGTATGGTAGAAATGCTGGTAGGAAGCCAGGATGAGATGATGATGTCTGTTTGCGAAATGATTAGTTTGCAAGTATAATTGCTAACGAGCTTGCGTGCACGATTCGTAAATAATTGAGTGTTTGTACGTAGATTAGATGAATGGAATGACTGGCTGTGGCTGTTAGGCGCCCACTTATGATAAATAACTGCGAAATAATGATCTGCTGTCGCGCTGTTTAATTCAGACGCAAGCTTTTTTCGTTGGATTATCTCGTTCGAGATAAATATTTTAACTGCACGAAGGCATGTAAATAGTTTGCTGAATAGTTTATTATAAATTTAACCACACTAAGACAACTAGGCTGAAAGTGATTAACACTATATTATAAAAATTTATTTACATTATACTATAAACAGATTACCTTAACAAGACGTTTACAAGCGCTAACTAAAATTATTTATAGCATATTTATTTACATAGGAATGGAGTGCGCGCCGCGCAAAGTTCATGCTGAATACTTGACCAGTTAATTAGTGTAATTATAAAAACTAGCAAAATAAATATTAACATCCTGTACAGAGCAGGCCTGTGTGTATTTGTTTATGTTCGTGTCAATGCTGGTGTGTGTATGTGTGTGTTGATATTTCTATGCGTGTGTATGTGTTTGCGTATGTGTGCATATGCGTGCGTGTTGGCACTAAAAGACACTTGGCACTTGAATATATTTCATAATTATACCTACATGTGCATTAAAATTAACGCATTTATCGCTAGTTGTATTTGTAAATTCATACATTCAAGTGTACACTCATTGATCAGAATGAATGTTTTTTTATATAAAGTGTTAAAAAAATATTAGTAAAACAAATCTTCAAATTTAAAAATATGCTTAAGTTACCAGAGCAGCAAATGAAAAAGAAAAAAGTAGGCACTGTTCAGTGAGTTAGTAACGATGAGGCATTCTGTATGATGTTCGTGGGGTCGTTTTGCTCAGGGACGGTGGGGCAGGGAATGCTGATGGCGTTGTGATGGGGGACCACTTCAGAGTTATTTTTGAACGTGAACTGATCCAATTCGTGATAAAATGGCGACATGGGAACGTCGTACGTACGGGGACTCTCTTGTTGAAATTGCGACGATGAAAAGTTTCGAACTTGCGATGAGATGTTGCGTTTAATATTGGAGGTGCTGTATTTGCGGTCCACTGTATTGCAGTGGACCTGATTGGTCGAGTAGTAAGGCCCGTGAGCAGGGCACCAAGCAGTTTCGGGGTAGCATCCGGCAATTTTCCTCATTTGCATGGTCGTGGCATAATCTCTCGGCATCTGAGGCAGTTTCTTGTCCGGATGGCTGGCAAGCATGGGGTACAATTCGCACATGCTGTATGATTGGTGCAGGCACGGCTGGTGCCCCGTCGAATACTTCTCTTGCGAGAAACTTTGCGATGATGGGTTATCTTCCTGCGGTTTGAATGCCATCGCTTGCTTGTGTCTGCATGTTTGAGTTGGAGACAATGTTTGGTCAATATGCTGTGCACGCCTTCTAGTGATATTTAATAAAAATAATAAAAATCACGTTCCATAAAAAAAAATGTCCATGACATGCGACGAAATGTTTTTTTAAAAATTACTAGCCGAAATGGCCAGGCTTCCAAGCAGTATAGTCCGACAACGATGATAATTGTTGAGATGATGAGGGCCACAGCTATGACGATTGTGATCATAACTGAATGTATTTGCAAGCATTTATGATATCATCAATGATATGATAATGATATGATATCTTCAATGATATGATAATGGTATCATGCAGTTATGGCGTGCGGGCAAATGATGATGGTAGTTATATTAAGTCAGAACTCAAAACAAAAGTCAGAAACATTGTTACTGGTTAGCAGCCATCGTTTGCAAATCAATATCGCTCCAATGCCGTATTTTTTATATATACTTAAATTACTCTACATGCGATAATATTTAAAAGTGTTTAATATAGTTTAAACAATTCGTTTTTTTACTAATTTTAAAATTGCTTAATTGAAAATTGAAAACAATAAAATGTAGGGTTTCAAAATCTACGAACCTGCAAATTTACCTTGAGAAGTTTTATCATCAGCAAGAACGGCCGAGGTGACAGCCCCCATTGTACAGTTTTCCTCCGTCAGTGAAGTCCAAACCCCATCGTGGCAGGTCAGATGCAAGCTGGAGTGGTCGCCAATGAGGCATTCAACTGTTATATTCAAGCCCGAGTCGAACAAAAGCCTCGCAAAAGATGGCGTCTCATAAGGCTGGCACTCTGAAACTGAGATTAAAGCACAATCATAAAATTTGTAGATAGTGCGTAGTATTCACACTTGTTTATACAAACATTATAGATATAATTTGTAAATTATAAAACCACTAACTATCGTATTGAATGAAGTAAGAGGTGTCCTGTTGTTGTGGCACAAACCAGATTCTAAGACTTTTCCCGCCGTCAACATGCAGCTGTCTCTTCCGTTCTTCTTCTCTGCATATTGGAGTGTCGTTCATGTAGGCGAGTATTAATTTCTCAGGAGAACCATTTCTAGCAGGAGAAACACCGACAGCTTCGTAATCCCACAGTGTAAAAGTAACCCGGTGTAACTTTGTAATGTTGAAAAACCACGGACAGTTCCTTAGGCCCACGTCTTGAACCAAGTTTGACAAGTAGCCAGATTGTTTCATAGGAACTGCTATGGGTCTTCCTAGGCAGGCGGCGTTCTCAAAAACTAAATCTGCACATTCAAATGAAAAACATTTTGCAATTTAAAATTGCTACGTGCACCGAGCGAAGGTGCGTTGGTAACTTTAAAAAACTTCCTACTTACATTTGAGGCACGTGTAGGACACTGAGATTTTATTAGAAAACTCGGCACTGCATGGAGCTTCCTTGTAGAATTTTGCATTGAATTGAGAATTCCAATGTTCGAGTTGGCAAGACTGACGACCGGAGCAAATCTTTCCAGCTTCTTCTGTAACATCAACGCCACAGATTTTTTTATCGTTCACATTACATCTTATCGAGAAGAATCGACCGTAGTAGGCCTTTCTGGTTTTAAAAAAGTTTAAAATTGTTTTTCTTGCCAATGTTTTTTAATATATATATATATATATATATATATATATATATATATATATATATATATATATTAGATATAAGACATACAGTTTTATTCGGTCTCCGCATATTCAACATCATAACTTTTATTCACTTATTTGATATGTTGTTGGTTATGAATATTATGAATATGAATAAATGGAAATTAAATTAAATAACGAAAAATTAGAAAATTAATAATAAACTTGTTTACTCGATTCTTATGAGAGAGTTTCTCGGGCATGTGATGTTTTCGCTGACGCAAATATGTAGTTCTGAAATTTAACCAAAAAATTATATTATTTACTTGGCGCTTTGTAAGTGTTTGTTTGTATGTTTGTTTGTATGTGTCTTTGTTTGTAAGGTTATGTATATGGTTGTATGTGTTGTTAATGTGTTTATTTTTATACGTGAATTGTAAAGAATAAAATAAATCGCTATTTCATTTATGAAAATTTTTAGCATGTTGAGACAGTCGCGCCGAGATTCTGGCAAGTTGTCAAATATTTCAATATTTCCGTATTTATGTAGAATTTCAAGAAGGTTGCGAATAAAAAGCCGATCTAAATTTTTTTTATATAACTGTAATATTATGATTGAATAATAAATTCAATGGTTTATCATATGACCAAATTATGAGGAAATAGTTAATACAGTAAGATATAGTTTGAAGATAATTTAAAATGACGATATGTGTGAACGTTTCAATGTTTCTTCTATTCAAAGCACACACACACATAAACACGCACGCACACACATTCAGCCAGCAGCATGATTTTACACATTAAAAATATTTAATCATACTTTTATATATTATTATATAATTTTATAATTCATTCATAATATTCATTCGTAATGTCCATTCACAATAATTTCAATTATAATGATAATAATAATTAAAAACAACAACAATAACAATAATAATAATAATAACAATAATAATAATAATAATAATTTACAGCATCCTGAACGGGATCATTATCTCGCAAACAACTTGTTTATTCAGAAATGTGCGCAGCGATATGAAATTATAACATAAATAATAATAATAACAATCATAATAATAATAAAAATCATAATAATAATAATAATAATAATAACAAAAATAATAATAACAATAATAAGGATGATAATAAGAAATAATAGGTATATAATTTATGTGGGCAAACATGCAAATGTGAAGTGGGTGAGAGAAAAAAGGGGAGAGGAGAGAGAGAGAGAGAGAGAGAGAGATGAAAACAGAGAAAGGAGAAAGGGATGGAGATAAAAAAGTAATAGAAAGAGAGTGAGAGAGAGAGAGAGAGAGAGAGAAAAAATATAAGCTGTTTTCGAGCTAAGCTTATGGAGGAAATTAATTTGTTCGAACGTATCAAATATCAAAACGCAAAACGAAGGGTCAGTCGAGTAAAAAACTAACGCTGCCTACAAAAAGTTGTAACATTACAAAGTTAATTTACAACACTTTAGAAAACAAAAAATTAGCCAAAACCTCCTTGCTATATTGTACAATATTTTTACTTTCACTATACACTTACTCTTATCGATGGACGCTAAATAACACAAATACATCTTATTTCTCATTTCATTTACTATTAAATTGTTTGTGTAATATTTAAGTTTTTAATATTCATATTTTTATATTAATTGAATTACTGTTATTACTATTATTGAATTAATTGAATTAATTGAAATGGCAAACAAATTTTCAGCATTCGGATGCCAAAGTGGATGTACCTCGATCTAATGCAGCTACAGGTCAAGAAAACAACCTTTCCTTTCATAGACACCCGTTGGATAATCCTGATCTAATGTTGAAATGGATACGAGACAATTTTCGAAGAACTTATTTTCAGGCATATTTCATTCCTTAATTAAGTTACACAGTGGAAAACACAGTTACACAGTCTTCATTTATGAGAAAACCGTTTTTCAGTTTTCATCCAGAAATCCATTGTGTGTGCGTGTGTGCGCGCAAAACTATTACGTATGTTTGTGTGAAAATACCGTGTGAAAGCTAGCCATAGATACAATACCTTTGTTATAAGTTACGTAATTAATATAGCAAATACAGAGAATAAATTCCAGTAGGCGAGATACAAAAATGCACTAATGTTATTCAACGGATTCAGTGGTGTTTCAAACGTACAATAGTTATCTAAAATAGTATCCAATCTAATGTGTCATCTCATGGCGTATGTTGTGTGTATGAGATATAGTGATATTGTATCATTATATATATATATATATATATATATATATATATATATATATATAAGTCGGTAAGACAAACTTTAAATTGATTAATGTGTGTGTGCGTGTGTGAGTGTTTGTGTACGTGTGTTTAGATGGCGTAGATAGTTATGCATACATAGAATTATGAGGTAAAGATGATTGCATGCAAAATAGGACAATTTAAGATGGTTCGAAGGTGACAAAATTTGGAACTTTATTACGCAATCACATGTGTACTGTGGTATGAAAATCAGTATTTATATTCATATCACATATACATATATACGCATACATATGTATACACATTTAAACACACATACACACACGAATTTTAGATAGTAAAATACAGTTTGTCTCTCCTTCTCTCTCTCCTTCTCTTCTCTCTCTCTCTCACTCTCTCTCTCACACACACACACACAAACAACACACATGCAAACACAAACATTACAAAATAAAAATACCATTAGAAGATGTAGAAAATACCCAGACCTCAGAAATACCCAAGCCAGAACCGCATAAATACTAATTACAAATTACGACTCTGAACGTAAATTCCGCCGACTGACATCAATTTAGTTGCTAACGAAAATGTCGTAAACCAACAGGATGTCTTTAAAATTTACTTGTTGCGGCCATATTTGTGTCTGTCTGTTTGTTTGTGTGTTGTGTGTGTATTTGTGTGTTGTGTGGTGTGGTGTGTGTGTTTAGCTAACGTAAAAAGACGATTTTTACGTCAAATTATCTTGCTAAAAATTTACCAAAACCTAATTAGAAATTGTATAATTGTATATATGATTAAGTTAAATTGATTGTGTGGTGTCTTTGCTAATATATATATATATATATATATATATATATATATATATATACACACGCGCGCACACACGCACACTTCATTTTATATTAATTTATAAATACTTTTACACAATTTAGCTATACTTTTATACATTATGTATTTTTATTACATAAATATATTTAATAAAAATAATGTATCCTATTATTTATGCCATTAAATTGAAAATAATAGAAGACCATATGAAACCTGATATCAATAACACTAGCTATACATATGCATACGGGGAAAACTATAATATACATACTATGACTTCAACTAGTATAAATTTAACTCAGTCTCTTCCTCTCTCTCCTTAATTCTCTTCTTCTCTTTCTCCTTTTCTCTCTCCCTCCTCCACCATTTGGACCATGTTTATCGGGGCCATCAATCAATCTTATCTATCTAAAATTACAACTCAACTGACGTTATATTACGTTAATTATGCGATTAGATTGATCGAACTTTGCTGATGGCAAGGATTAACTAATTTTAATTACTACTGTGTTTCGAATTGAATAAAATTGAAGCAATAAATTAATTAATTAGTTAGTTAGTTAATTAATTAGTTAATTAAATTAACTTAAAATGTGTGTAAAAAAAATTCAACGGTGCATACTCATGTTATAATAATTTATATATGTGTAGTCACAAAAAATTGATGTGTTATCACTCATCAGAATAAAAAAATACAAAATTTTAACATATGGGCAAGAATTTAATTCTAAAGTAAAATTTTGACAAAGTTACCTACCTATACGACGGTCGTTAAAAGATGTGGTTGCTGCAACAGCCTCAGATACGTAGCGACCGCTGCCACACATACTCAGCAGCAACATCATGCAACCGACGTACGTTGATAAATTTGTTATCACCGATGATGACGAGGAGAATGTGGATGACGTCATTGTTGATGTAATTTTGTTGTTGTTGTTGTTGTTGTTGCAACTTTTGTTGAGGGTTTCGCTGCAGGCCATCACAAAGAAAGGGGTTTATTCAATAATAAATAATTAAATGATAAAATGTGTTATTTTTCTCGTGTTAGTCTTATACAGTTAATTAATAATTAATTAGAAATTAATGATTATTATCAATTAAGTTTTAATTTAATATATTTTTTTATTATACTGATAAAATAAAATATAGTTGGTCCGTTTGATTAAATAAAATTTCGTATTTTTTTTATTATTAAAAATAAAATTAATTCTTATTCACAATTCATAATCATTCAAACAATTCTTAATACAACAAATTAAAATTTATTTCAAATTAATCTAAATTTACTTCATTCTATTAAAAAAAATCCTAAATTCAATTAAATGATTCTCTCATTGCCACATTATTAACGCTTATACATACAAACACATTTTACACACGCATATAGAAGGTTCAAACCGACAAGCAAAAAGCTAAAAGAAGAGTTTGAATTCATTGTCCTTAAAGTACCGGCCATATATATATATATATATATATATATATATATATATATATACATACATACATACATACATACAGGCATACACATATATACAAAAATACATACATATACAAACATGTATACATACATATATACACATATACGTTGACAACCCCGAGGTTCACATATATATGTATACATACATGTATACATACATACATATATACACATATATATGTATACGAACATGTATACATACATATATATGTATACAGACATGTAAACATACATACATATACACACATATATCTGTATACAAACATGTATACATGCATACATATACACACATATACAAACTTATACACATGTATATTATGTAAATACACATATATTTATACATACAAAGATATTAAATTAAATAAACAGACACAATCAATTGTGCGAGTTAGTATAAACACACACCATAGTATATGAAATGCTTGTTATGTTTACACACACGCACACACACACACATAAACACACACACATATATTCATGTATATATATTGTATATTTAATATAAGTAGTTGTGTGTTCTGCATGTGTTCATATATATACATATACAGACACACAACTACATATACATATATTTTAATGTAACAAAACATGCATATAAACACACACACATACAATACACACACACACATACAATACACCTATTAACACATGCACAAACTTGCACTTGCACGCACACGGTTAAATAGTATTCCACTTATATAGACAC